CCCCCCCCCCCCCCCCCCCCCCCCCCCCCCCCCCCCCCCCCCCCCCCCCCCCCCCCCCCCCCCCCCCCCCCCCCCCCCCCCCCCCCCCCCCCCCCCCCCCCCCCCCCCCCCCCCCCCCCCCCCCCCCCCCCCCCCCCCCCCCCCCCCCCCCCCCCCCCCCCCCCCCCCCCCCCCCCCCCCCCCCCCCCCCCCCCCCCCCCCCCCCCCCCCGTCGCCCGTCGCGGCGGCCTGGGAGGCCGCACGTCGCCCCCCCCCATCGCCCGTCGCGGCGCCCTGAGGGGCCGCGCGTCGCCCACCCCTCCCGTCGCCAGTCGCCACGCCCTGGGGGGCCGCACGTCGCCCCCCCCCCGTCGCCCGTCGAGGCGACCTGGGGGGCCATGCGTCGCCCCCCCCCCCCCCGTCGCCCGTCGAGGCGACCTGGAGGGCCGCGCGTCGGCCCCTCCCGTCCTTCGTTGCGGCCCTGCCCTGCAGCCGCCCTGTCGCGGCTCTGCCCTGCTGCCGCTCCGGTCGCGGCCCTGCCTTCGCCTTTCGTCGCGGCCCTGCCTTGCTGCCGCCCCCGTTGCGGCCCTGCCCTGTGTTGGGGTTTGGGGGTGGCGAGTATGGGGTGATGGGTGTGTGCGGCCTCCCCTGCTCCTCCTCCTCCTCCGTCTCCCACTGCTGCAGCTGTCGCTGAGGGGGGTGGGTGTGTGGGAGCCGACGAAGTGGTACTAGGGGGTGGCGTTGTGAGCAGTGCTAGAGGTGCCGCAGGGGGTATGTGAAAGGGGGGTGAGACAGTTAGAGGGAGGTTGGGCGGAGGCAGCCGTCGTGTCGCCAGCAGCGCCAGTAGTCCGGAGGCTACAATCTCCGGTAGCCCAGCGAGCCTGCTGCGCCAGTCGCCCGTGGGTCCGTTGCTCCTGCCGCTCAGAGTTAGTTGCGGAGCCAGTTACTCCAATAGTCCGGAGGCTACAATCTCCGGTAGCCACAGTGCGCGCCGCTCCTGTTGCCCGTGTTTTTGCATCTTCACCAGTCGTCTCCTATCTCCACTCCTCTCACAGTCCCTCCTCCTCCTCACCTACCGTCTGTGACTGCCTCTAGCTTTGCTTATATTTGTGAACTAAAAATTGCTGCCTCTTGTACTTGTGCTCAGAATGTGTGGTGACGTCGTGATCCACCCTGAGTTTGTTTTGCTTTGCTTGTTGTGCTGATTACACCCCACTTTGGCTATGGGGGTGTGTCAGAATGTTATATTTGTCTAGCCTGCAGTGGGGTACTCAATAGTGAGTATAGCCCAATTTAGGGTTTGCTATATGTACTCAACTGCCTGCTAGTGAACCCCCCCTTTTCTGTTTCATTCATTCGTTCCATATTCTAACAGAAAACACAAAGCAAGTTATAAGCAAAAGGATTTCTGATTTCGCCCTCGCGCCGCGCCTAATTTCGAGCTGAGTTGTACTCGGCTCGATTTCCAAATCCAACCATGCGCCGAACGCGCCTCGAGCTCGAATTTCAGACTTCCTTGGACGCGCCTTTGACCCGGCGTGACTTCTCTTCACTTCACTTGAAATCTCGACATTTCAGCCGTGTCCTTCTCCACGTCTGCACGCTTCCTCTTCTTCACTTCGTTTCTCACCATAGGTTCCGCCTGTTGGAAGTGTGGGGGACGGGATTGCCCCCCACGCGAAAGACCTCCCTTGACTTGGACCAAGGGAGGGTTCGTTCTTGGAAGGTTGGGGTGACGGCGGATTGTCCGCGTCGCCACGCAACCGAACTTCCCCCGGTTGGGTCCGAATATTTGTGGGGGCGACACTTGGCAGCCCCACAAGCATGCACGAAAATAGCAAGAGTGCAAGCGAATGTTACGAACATTTCGCTACACTCGCTATTGTTCCTTGTAACACACGATTGTCGGCGTGAAAAAACGAACCCGGCAAAGTCCGAAATTGTGAACGCGGACGTCGCGGAAATTGGACGCGATCTTGAGTCCAAATTTCCGGCGAGTCGCGCGCGGTTCGATGTTACAATTGTGCTTGCATGTTTTAGCTATAAAACCAGAGAGCAAATTCCAGAGAGTTAACTTCAACTCGTCATTTGTACCCATCCTTGCATTATAAGAATTTTCTCTTTCAATTCTCTGGCGATTACAGAGATTCAAAGTGCCACGGATTCCTTGCTCCGAGCCCGTTGGAACGATCCTAGTTTTGGCTCCTAACTCACCAAGTAGAATCTGTGGCGTCACTAGGAGTGAGACGGTTTCCTTCATGGTATGAGAGCTAGAGTAAGAGTGTTCGCTCAATCGTTGCTACGCGATGGGTACCACCGAGACTTTGTCAACGACGAATGCGCCAACAACCCCTTCCTTTCCGGCGGACTTTTTGACAACACCGCATGTTGTCGATATGAGCGCGGTGCCAAATTTTAACAGGGAGCACTTCTCCTCGTGGCGCTTCAAACTCAAGGTCTACATGATGGAGCGCGACTTGTGGGGCTTTTTCGATGGGTCGTCATCGAAGCCCTCTTCGGGCGATTCAACCAGGGAAAATGAAGCGTGGGTGCAAAAGGACAAAAAGGCATTTGCCTTTCTTGTTTCCAAGCTAAGTCTCCAACTCCTCCCTATCGTGAGTCCGTGCATCGACCGTGAAGGCTCGACTCGTGAAGCGTGGAAGCGACTCGAAGGAGAGCACGTCTCCAAGTCTCTTCATAGCAAGCTTCAAGCGCGCCTCGACTTTTTCACGGTGCGGATGAAGGACGGCGAGTCAATGCGCGCGTACGTCAACCGCGTGGAGGAGCTTGGCGAGCGCTTGGTGGAACTCGACGCGAGCGTGGAAGACAACGATTGGATCATGACGCTCCTCGCGGGCCTCGGTGAAGCATGGTCAACGGTGATCACGATTTTGGATGGGACGCAAGATACGTGGAAGAAGGAGCAAGTGGTGGCACGCCTCATCAACGAAGAGACGAGGCGCACGGAATTGCATGGCGATGCAATCGGTGCGGCACACTTCTCCCGCGATGCAAAGGCGAAAGGGACGGGTCACTTCAAGCGGTGCAACGACGGCAACAACCGCGGGAGTTCGAACGGGAGCGCGGCGACCTCAAGCTCATCACGAGGAGGATCGGCCAACGCCAATCGAGCTCGGGCGCGAGAGGGTGCTTGTCGTTTTTGCAAGAAGACGGGACATTGGTGGCGCGATTGTCCCGTTAAACTGGCAAATTGGAGGCCGTCTTCAAGTGACGACAACCGGCGCGCGCATGTGGCGACATGCGACAACAACGACCGGGAGTTCATCTTCGTCGCAAGTGGAACGACCGTTGGTGGTGTTGACGCGTGGGTACTCGACACGGGTGCTACTCAACATATGACGACGTGCGCGACGCTTCTCAACAACGTGACAACGGTAGCTTCTGTTAAGCGCGTGATGTTCGGCAACCGTGACACGTTGGACGTCACGGGACAAGGCGACTTGCGGCTCATGGTGGACGGCGGTCCACTCACCATCAAGAACGTCTTGGTGGTTCCCGGGCTCGGCGCCAACCTCCTCTCCGTTTCCCAATTCACACGCAAGGGGATGCGTGTGAATATTGAAGGGACCATGATGGCGTTGAGCACGGCGGACTGAGTACACATCGGCACGGCACGCCAAGCGGGTGGACTCTTCGTGCTCGACGCTCTCCCTAGCGTGGCATCGGCTCAAGCGGCTACCTCGACAACCTCTCTCTCAACGTGGCATAATCGGCTTGGCCACCTCCACCTCGCCGCTATTCAAGCTATGGCAACGAAGGGGATTGTCGACGGCTTGGATTTTGTGCGCGCGAGTGGAGACAACGAGAAGTGTGTCGGTTGCCTTGAAGGGAAAATGGCACGGAAGCCTTTTCCACCAAGTACGAAGCCGAATTCCTCCGAACCTCTCTGGCTTGTTCACACGGACTTGTGCGGACCCATCACTCCCGCGTCGAAGGGCGGCGCACACTACGTCCTCACGCTCATCGACGACGCGACGCGGATGTGTTGGATTCGACTTCTCAAGCACAAGGACGCCACGTCAACCGCCATCAAGCAATGGGTGGCGGATGTGGAGAAGGAAAGCGGCTTCAAGGTCAAGCGCTTTCGCTCGGAGGGAGGTGGCGAATATACCGCTCATGAGCTCGGCAATTGGTTGAAAGGGCGTGGGACCGCGCACGAGTTCTCGACGCCGTATACGCCTCAACAAAATGGAGCCGCCGAACGCTTGAACCGTACGCTCATGGAGTCGGCACGGAGTCTCCTCTCCCATGCTCACGTGGAGAAGCATTCGTGGGGAGAGGCGGTTACGTTGGCAACTTGGATTCGCAACCGGTGCGTGACCAAGGCGTTGCCCAACAAGACGCCTCTTGAGGCTTGGAGCGGTACGAAGCCGGACGTCACCGACCTTCGCACGTTTGGGTGTATGTGCTACTATCATGTACCCGATGTCACACGGACCAAGCTTGATGCTAAGGCGCGGGTGGCGATGTACTTGGGACCAAGCGCGGATCACAAGGCATGGCGTGTGTGGGACTTGGAGCACGGGAAGCTCGTGGTGTCACGCGACGTGGTGTTGTATGAAGACACCTTCCTGTCCAAGTCCATGAACGTGCCCTCGGTCATCATCATCTCTCCTCCCTTGGATGTCGCGGATGAGGCGGATGAAGCTCCTAGGGGTTCTCCTCCTTGTACGAATGATGGGGAGAATGGATCGGGTGCGGTTGGAGTGAGTGGGGATGAAGGAAATGCCAAGGAAAGTGAGCCTTCATCTCCTCCTCCTCCTATCACTCCCACCCTCGCATCCACTCGCACTCGGAGGAAACCTCATCCCAACTCCAAGTATGATGGCTATTCTCTTGTGGCGGGGGACGATGAGGGAGGGGGAGATGCTATGTGTCTTGAGGCATACACCGACACCCCGTCCACCTACCAAGGCGCCATGAGCTCGGCGGAAGCGGCGGAATGGGAACGTGCGCTTCAAGAGGAGTACGATTCGCTCATGGCGAACGACGTCTACGAGCTTGTCCCCATGCCTCACGGCGCCTACCTAGTTGGCTCTCGTTGGGTCTTCAAGAAGAAGCTCGGCCCCAATGGAGAAGTGGAGCGGTACAAGGCGCGGTTGGTGGCTCAAGGGTACACTCAAAAGGAGGGTGTTCACTACAACGAGACGTTCGCTCCCGTCGCCAAGTCCGCCACATTGCGCACCCTCTTGGCGTTGGCGGGAGCACTCGACTTGGAGGTGGAACAACTCGATGTGAAGACGGCGTTTCTCTATGGTCGTCTCAAGGAGGAGGTGTACATGAAGCAACCTCCCGGGTTCGACGACGACTCCGACCGCGTGTGCAAGCTCAAGCGTACGATCTACGGCCTCAAGCAAAGCCCTCGTGCGTGGTACACGAGGATTGACCACGCGCTCTACGTGCTCAACAAGGATGAGAAGAAGCTCATTCTTCTCCTCTACGTCGATGACCTTCTATTCATGTTGGATTCCAAGACCCTTGTAGCGGACATGAAGACGAAGCTTGCCGCCGAATTCTCCATGCGTGACCTCGGCGCCGTCTCCCACTACCTAGGGATGCACATCGATCGTGATCGAGGGAACAAGACCCTCGCCCTCCACCAACACAAGTACTTGGAGAGTGTTGTGGATCGTTTCGGCATGATCGAGAGCAAACCTACACCGACACCCGTGGAAGCGGGGTTTCATCCCTTGACCGTGAGCGATGAGAACCCCATGGATCCCGAGAGCGCCAAGGCCTTTCACTCGGTCGTTGGGTCGTGCATGTATGCCGCGGTGAGCACTCGGCCCGACCTCTCCTTTCCCGTTGGAGTGCTTGGACGTGTCGTCTCCAAACCCATGGTCGAGCATGTGCGAGCATCACGTCGCATTCTTCGCTACATCAAGGGCAATTCTCGAATGGGGTTGCACTACGAGAAGGGACCCGTGGTGCTACAAGGCTACACCGATGCGGATTGGGCGGGAGATCCTTCAACCCGCCAAAGCACTTCGGGCTATATCTTCACCCTCGTGGGAGGTGCAATAAGTTGGCAAAGCAAGCGCCAAAACTTGATTGCACTTAGCTCCACCGAAGCGGAATACGTGGCACTCACTCGTTGTGGTACGGAAGCGGTTTGGCTAAGGCGCCTTTTTGCCGAGCTTGGGCACCAACAAGAAGGCCCTACTCTCATCTACGTGGACAACCAAGCCGCCATTGGCCTAGCCAAGAACTCGGTCCTCCACGGAAGGACCAAGCACATTCAAATCCGCCATCACTTCATTCGCAAGCTCGTTGAAGACAACGAAGTCGAGCTTCGTTACATCAAGACCAACATGCAACCCGCGGACTTCCTCACCAAGCCATTGCCTAGAGATGCTCTTCATGCATGTTGTGCTAGGGTAGGCTTGCATGCTTAGGTGTGCGTGAGGTGCAAGGGGGAGTGTTGGAAGTGTGGGGGACTGGATTGCCTCCCACGCGAAAGACCTCCCTTGACTCAGACCAAGGGAGGGTTCGTTCTTGGAAGGTTGGGGTGACGGCGGATTGTCCGCGTCGCCACGCAACCGAACTTCCCCCGGTTGGGCCCGAATATTTGTGGGGGCGACTCTTGGCAGCCCCACAAGCATGCACGAAAATAGCAAGAGTGCAAGCGAATGTTACGAACATTTCGCTACACTCGCTATTGTTCCTTGTAACACACGATTGTCGGCGTGAAGAAACGAACCCGGCAAAGTCCGAAATTGTGAACGCGGACGTCGCGGAAATTGGACGCGATCCTGAGTCCGAATTTCCGGCGAGTCGCGCGCGGTTCGATGTTACAATTGTGCTTGCATGTTTTAGCTATAAACCCAGAGAGCAAATTCCAGAGAGTTAACTTCAACTCGTCACTTGTACCCATCCTTGCATTATACGAATTTTCTCTTTCAATTCTCAGGCGATTACAGAGATTCAAAGTATTCCTTTCAATTCTCAGACTAGGAGTGAGACGGTTTCCTTCACCGCCGCTGCCGTATTCCTTCTTCCACCGCCCCAACATAAGTAGCTTATCTTCTTCTTAGGTCCTCGCCTTCCCTTAGTCTGTAGGTTTTTCTTAGGTCGATGTAGGTCGCTCCAGGTTGTGCTGGGTCGTGGTTAGCTAACCACCTTCAACAGCGGCGGCATGGGCGGCGGCGGAATGGGCAGCGGCGGAACTGGCGGCGGTGGCATGGGCGGCGGCGGAATGGGCGGCGGCGGAATTGGCGGAGGCGGAATGGGCGGCGGAGGAATGGGCGGCGGCGGTATGGGCGGTGGCGGAGTGGGCGGCGGAGGAATGGGCGGAGGAATGGGCGGACCTGGTTCCTCTGCTCCCGGATCGCAATCAGCCATGGGTCCTGGAGGGAACATGGGTGGCGGCGGAATGGGCGGCGGCGGAACGGGCGGCGGAAGAATGGGCGGCGGCGGCATGGGCGGAGGCAGCATGGGTGGCGGCGGAATGGGCGGCGGAGGAATGGGCGGTGGCGGTATGGGCGGAGGCGGCATGGGTGGTGGCGGAACGGGCTGCGGCGGCATGGGAGGGGGCATGGGTGGACCTGGTTCCTCTGCTCCCGGATCACAAGCATCCATGGGTCCTGGGGGAGGCATGCGCGGGGGGGGTATGGCCGGCGGAGGCATGGGCGGTGGAGGCATGGGCGGGTCAGGGTAGGTTGCTCCAGGGTCGCAGGCAGCACCCGGCCAGGGTGGACCTGGGATGGGCGGAGGGATGGGAGGGCCTGGAGGCAACATGGGAGGCGGTATGGGCGGACCAGGCTCGTATTCTCCTTGATGCGAGGCATGCATGGTTCATGGAACGAACGCAGGCATGGGGTATTCAAGGTCCAAAGAAGACGTTCAATTCAGTTATGGTACCGGTACCAGTACTAGGTGGCTTTACCATATGGGGAAGTGCAAGAGATTTGCAAGTGGTGCAGGGGTTGCAATGGCATAGATGCAAGAGCCTAGGGGTTTCATGTTTGCTGTCATTGCCGGAGCTTGGATGCAGCAGCACATGCACTGATGCATGGGGGCTATCAGTGTAGTGCTGCTTCGTCCAAGCTTGTAGCAGCCAGACAGTGTGGACCGTAGGATGCATCAATATCATTTGCGGGTTCTTTGTGTCAACTTGTGAAGGGAATGTGTGTGCGCTTTTATCCTTTGTGGCAATTCTTTCTTCTCTTCACAAATCAAGGTTGAAACATGACTTGTGTGGAAGAGCAATTGCGCATACTGGCACAAACGTGTGGAGTGTAAGCATGTGTGGTTGTTTAGTTTCAGTCAGCCATGGCAGCTGTGCGGTCAAGAGAATAAAAATATTTCGCGCCTCTTGAAAGCAACCACCTGAGAATAATCATATTCAGAGTCCACATGCGTGTGCTGTGCAGGAAAGGCATACAGCAAACACAGCATGGTATATTGACGAATGGATACACAATAGAGACTGTACAGCAGTGCGGAAAGCCAAGTTGGTGAACATTCAGTCTGTAATGAGACCAGCTAGAACATGGCCAGCTCTATCATGTGCTGGGATCTGCTGCTGGTCCCTATTGGTTCTCTGCCTCGTTATAAGGCACCTCAGGACACTAATAGCTCTCCTCTGCTTCGATGTCTGGCCGCGAGAGAGTGTAGTTGAGGGCGTTGAGTGTGAGCTGGGAGGGGGTTGGGAGAGGAGGGGGGGAGTGAGAGATTGAGAAGAGAAGAAAGAGAATTGAATGGGTAATGAGAGCAATGGGTTGGTTGAGGGGGAGGCGAGGAGGAGGAAGAGGAGAGGTATCGGACAGAACAGAGAGGTAAGTATAACAATTCTCAGAAGTATTAAGTAAGGTGGATGACTTGGGCTATCAGCCAGGATGACAGGGAAAGAGGGGGCACCGATTAGAAGAGAAAAGAGAGACAATGGAAGGAGGAGCTTCAGGAAGAGAGGGATTGCGCTTGAGAGCCCTAGGAGTCAGGCAGGAGAAAGGAGAAACAGAAGGAGGTGTGAAGGGGAGGAGGCACATGAATGACGGAATACGTGGAGACGAGAACAGGGAGTGCATCATCTAAGCAGCAGGTGGGTGCTTCATTTGCACGTTTCGTGGCCTGAGTGGAGTGTAAGGAACAACGCATACCTCCAAGTCATACCCACAGCTTTGCTAAACGAAGATGATGCTGGTGGGCACAATGACCCGATGGTGGTTGTTTCATCTCAGCATGTTCCTTTTAACTCACCATGCTCGTTTCATCTCACTGCGCTAGCTTCATCTCTCTGTGCTTGATTTCATCTCACCGCGCTTGTTTCATCTCAGCATGCTCGTTTCATCTCACCGTGGTCATCTCATCATCCAGTGGCCCCCCATGGTACGACACAGTGAACACATCCTTCGCCACCACGCCCTGCACGCACAGATATAGAGGATGGGAAATGATAATGGTGTGTGAAATGTGAAATACTGTCAACACATCCTTCGCCACCACTCCCTGCATGCGCATAGAAGGGAGATACAACATGGGTGGTGGTGATTACAGTACAGCATGGGAAGCGCGGCAGAGGGACCACATCCGTCATCAGAACATGTGCTGGGGCACGGGCATGAGTGAACGGGTGCACGCATGCATATAATGAAAAGAGGCATACACGGCACGGATGCACCGTCATTCACAGCAGCACTCACAGAGAGCGAATCCTTCGCCATCACATGCTGCTGGGCGAGGGGTGTGCAGGCCCCTCATCCTCCCCCCCCCCTCACGACGCCCCATTCACCTCAGCACCTGTCTAAACCTACATCACACCCACCTCGGTGTCGATCTCTGCTGACGTCACACTGACGGACATCCCTGTCAGCACATCCACGATTTCCATCAGCAGCCCCGGCCGGTCCGCCGCCTCCACCCTCAACTCGCTGCCTGTGTTGTCCGGGAGGGCCGTGATCGCCATGCGTGTTGGCACACTCGACTGTGGGGGTTGCGATGGGATGGGAGCACACGTGAAGGGGGTTAATGCAAGTATTCATTGCCGGTCTGCCACCTCCACCCTCAGCTCGCTCCCGCTGCTGTCCGGGAGGGGCGTGAGCGTCATGCGCGTTGGCACGCTCGCCCGTGAGGGATGGGAGCACACGTGAGGGGAGAATATGCATGCATCAATCACTGGTCTGCTGGCTGCCTCCACCCTCAGCTTGCTGCCCTGTCAGGGGCACGAGTGGCGTGTGCGTTGGCACGCTCGCCTGTGAGGGATGTGAGCGGGAGTAACTGAGACGATGTGCGAGCACTCAGAAGCCCTAAGAAGCCTGATAGCAGGGTGACAGCGTGGGGAAGCACAGCGGGGTGAAGGCTGAAGGAGAACAGGGAGAAGGGAGCAACAGTCCCTGCCGAGGAGAAAACTGGGTCAGGTAAGTGAGCAGGCACCTGTGGTGCAGCATTGCACGTGCTTGGAGGTTCCATCCAGAAGCACGTGTTGCTCTGAGAGCTCACACAGCCACACGATGCCGCTGGTGCAGTCGCTAATAAAGATTTGACACCTGTATGATGCATGTGGGGTGAGTACCCCTGTATGATGCATGTGGGGTGAGTAAACAAGTATGGCAGGCTCACACCAGTGCTCCACCCAAGCCTCTCGACCCTCGCTGCAATCCCAACCTCCTGACGTTCCCCACCCTCTCCCCGAACTCCCAATCAGTGCCCCACGCATCACGCACCCCAGTGCCACTTTCCCCTCTCTCACATTGCAGGGAGGCGAGTCGCATGTGAGGCCCATGGCTAGCTGCGTGCCTGACTCCTGCAGGTGTGGGAGAGAAGGGGGAAGGGGGAAGGCGGAAGGGGGAAAGGGGAAGGGGGAAGGGGAAGGAGAGGAGAGGGGTGCAGGATGGTGGGGTTGATGCAAGGAGGCGAATCGCATGTGAGGCCCATGGCTAACTGAGCGCCGTATTCCCAAGTGAGGAGGGGATGGAGGGAGCAGGGTAGAGCATGAGGGAATACAGTATATAACACGGGGTGGCATGCAATGCACATAGGAGCACTCACAGGGTGGTGAGTAGCAGTCACGGGTTGGCATACAAACAACACACTGCGTCACAAGTGCAGAGAGCAGCACTCACGGGGTGGCGAGCAGCACTCACGGGGTGGCGAGCAGCACTCGCGGGGTGGCGAGCAGCACTCGCGGGGTGGCGAGTAGCACTCGCGGGGTGGCGAGCAGCACTCATGGGGGTGGCGAGCAGCACTCACGGGGTGCCGAGCAGCACTCACGGGGTGGCGAGCAGCACTCACGGGGTGGTACTTGAGGAGGTTGGCGATGATGGTGCCTCGAATGGCCTCTATCATCTCCGCACTCTCCACCTTGCCTCCCCTGTGAGTGGAGGTGGTGTGTGGGGTGGCAGAGCAAAGGATGGGATGCGATGCGATGGGATGGGATGGGATGGGATGGGCAGGGCAGGGCAGAGGATGAGATTTTCTATTCGAATATGAAGTCAAATCGTGTCACACGCCCATGGAGGGTACGTGAGGTGGCATGGCAGGGTAGGGGATGGGGGATGGTTCAATAAGTGGGACATATGACATGTTCATGTTGGCATTCTCTCTTTTTGCCGCCGATTTTCTTTTGCAGGATGAGGCAAGGGAGGGCCTCTTGGAGAATCGCAGGGCAGGGATCGAGCAGAGAGGGAGGGATTTGAGACATCTCAAAAGAGCGTTACTCAATGCGCCAACATCTGCTGTGCACCTCCCCCTTCCAAGCCTCTCCTCACAGTCCTGGATGATGGTGACATCACTGCTTGCAACACTGCATGCAACACTGCATGCAACACTGCTTGCTATCATCACCCGCCCATCTATTCACCACCACCCCTTGTCCTTTCCTTCCCAGACCTTCCGCCACTCTCCCCTCTTTGGCCATCCTCCTCCCAACCCCCTCCTCACCCACTCTTCCGTCCTTGCCCACCCCCCTCTCCCTTCCCTCCCCTCCAAACGGCACTCACTCCTGCGTGATGGTGAACGTGTTCCGAGCAACGGTGCCTGCTGTAGTCACGCGTCCCTTCACCACGTTCAGCCCCAGACTGCGCAGTGCCGCCATCTGGTAGGGCGGTGAGGGAGTGGGGAGGCAAGGCAGAGAGAGGTGAGGTGAGCTCTGAGCGGACTTGGGAGTCACGCGTCCCTTCACCACGTTCAGCCCCAGACTGCGCAGCGCCGCCATCTGGTAGGGCGGTGAGGGAGTGGGGAGGCAAGGCAGAGAGAGGTGAGGTGAGCTCTGAGCGGACTTGGGAGTCACGCGTCCCTTCACCACGTTCAGCCCCAGACTGCGCAGCGCCGCCATCTGGTAGGGAGGGGGTTGGGAGCAGTGTGAGAGGCGAGGTGGGGAGGCGAGGTGAGAGGCGAGGTGAGAGGCGAGGTGAGAGGCGAGGTGAGAGGCGAGGTGTGCAGGTGACCCACAGAGAGCAAAGTAACTTGTTATCTGACTAGAAAGTGACCCGGCCCTCCACCAGATTCAAGCCCTGAGTGCGGAGGGCCCTTGCAAGCTGTCTCTCTCGCACCCACCGCGCCACCAAGAGTGCACCCAGCGTGGCTGTCCCCGTTTTGCAGACACCCCACAGGTTCTCTTTTCTGACAGCTCGCCTCTCACCTCTCCACATCACATCATATCGCGTCACATCGCATCGCACCACATCACATCACATTGCATCACATCACACCACACCACTCTACACCACATTACCCCAAACCACATCGCATCACTCAACCCCCTGCACCCACCAAGTCCATAAGCCAACCACCATGAAAACACTCCCCCCTTCTTCCCTCACCCCCCTGCACTCACCATGTCCATGAGTGCGCCCAGCCTGTCACCAAACTCTAGCTGCACAACGGTCGCATTGGCCTCCGAGTGGTTGTCTATTACCACCACTGGCATCCCCTTCCTTTCCACCACACCCCATGCCACCACACCCCTGTCAGAATCCCAACCACTAGACCATTGGGATAAAAGGGCTTGTTAAGTAGCGGGTCAGTGCGCCCATAACCCCCCAGGACAACGAGCCTGTAACCCTTCCCTAGGATCAATCGGGGATCACCAGTGGACCTCTGACAACCCCACCACACCACACCGCATTCCTCACTCCCCAACAACAGCGCTCACCGTGTCCATAAGCGCCCCCAGCCGGTCACCAAACTCTAGCTGCACAATGGTGGCATTGGCCTCCGAGTGGTTGTCTATCACCACCACCGGCACGGGCACCTCCTCTGTCTGCGCTGTGCTTGCTGCTGCTGCCACCACTGGTGCGCGGCTGGCCTGGTGGTGGGAGGAGCGTGGGAGAAGGCAGAGCGATGGGCCGGATAGGGAGGAAAGACGGGCATTCCTTTTAACTTCGCCTCCAAGTGGTTGTCTATCACCACCACCGGCACTGGCACCTCTTCTGTCTCCGCCTGCGCTGTGGTTGCTGCTCCTGACACTAGTATGCGGGTGGCCTGTGGAGGGTCAAAAGGGGGAAAAGGCAGAACAACGGGGGGGATAGGTAGAAAGAATGGAAGTTCCGATTATCTTTAAGATATTGGAAGCCCCTCTTGAGTCGACTCAAATTTCGCCTCCTAGTGGTTGTCTATCACCACCACTGGCACAGACACCCGTTCCCTCTCCGTCTCCACTGTGGATGCTGCTGTTGCTACCATTCGGGCGTGGCTGGCATGGTGGGGGGAGAAGGTGGGAGAAGGCAGAGCAATGGCAGGTGCGGAGAAAGAACGAAAGTTTGGTTATTCCTTGCTATATTGGAAGCCCTTCCAGCGTGGTCACATCCCCCTCTGACAGGATAAATGGGAGTTCCATTTCCGTTGCGGCCTCACAAGCTGGTTGCCAGTCACCACTGCCAGCACCGGCACCTCCTCACCCTCTCCTCCCTCGCCTCTGTGCTGCCACTGGAACCTGCTGCTTGCCCCTCCGCTGCTGCTGCTTGTCCTGCTGCTGCTGTTGAAGTGTGCTTGGTCTGGAAATAGAAGAGCGGAGGGTTCGAGATGGGGGAAGAGAGAAGGGAAGTTCCACCACACACGCACTCCCTCTGCTGCTGCTGCTGCTGCTGCTATACCGTGCCATGCCGTTACGTCATGCCATGCCACCATGCCTCTGAAATTCAAGTCATGCCATGGAATTCATGCCCCCCCATTGCACGCCACGGCATGCCATGACATGCCATGCTTCTCACCTTCCGCAGAGATCGTGGACTAGCAGGCGCAACGGCGGAGAGGGCGGAAGGGGCTGCGCGTGCAGCAAGGGGGACGGGGCTGCTGGTGGGGGTTGGGGAGAGGAAAAACAACCGGAAGTGAGCGGAATGATGTTAACGCGGTGTTTGGAGTATAAAGGGCACGGGCACGAATTTCGAGGAGGGTACCTGGAAGTCTAGATTGAAGTAACAAATGCTCTTCGGATTCAGAAGATTTTTTCGCCTACACCCCCGGAAACGTATACCACCGCCAACAAAGATGACAAGCGGGAAGGAAGATGAGTGAGAGAGGGAAGAATGAATGAACGCCGCCGTACTGTACTCGAGTCACCGTGCATGTCTTGTTCGAGGGAAGAATGAACGCAAGCTTTACAAGTTATACGAAAGTTGCGGTCATTCGAATTCGCCTTAAATGCGCGAAATTCGCGCATCAAGCGAAATTCTAAACGAATCCCGTCACGTCGATGGTCACAGTTGGACGAGCTCAGGCTCGTCTGACAAAGATGACACGCGTGCGAGAGGAGCAAGAGAACAGATTAACTACCGTAAGCACAAACGATGCTGCTCTTGCATACCTTCTTTGCCCGCGATGGCTGTTGTGCAGCGGACGACCGGTGTCCGGCGAAGAAAAGATGGGACCGTTGCATGCGGTGGCACGCCCAACAGAACTATTTATTGCCATCTCGGACCCGGCGGAAACCGCGAAGACGGTAGAAACCACGGAGACGGCGGAGACGGCAGCCATTCCGGATAATAGGTGCGTGGACAATGATGTCAACAGCGCGACGGTGTTGCTGGCAACACGTGATGCGTTAAGGTTCGCAAATTCCCTGTCAACGCTAACCGCGAAACGCGATGAGCACTGTCGTCGGCGGGTGGCAACTCCCAGTCAAGTACGGAGCGAACAAGACGGCACGGTCAGGGACAAGATGACCATCAACCGTTTTGAAGCTATGGTTGAATGCACCAATTTAGTAGCTGTGAAATGCATGTGAGGGAAAGATAGGTTGGTAACAAGACATTGGAATGGAATCTCTCCCCTCTCTGCTGTTCCCACCACTGCTGCTGCTGCACCGACCTGCGCTGCAGCATTTTTGGGGATCTCGAGGTGGACGGACAGCTCCTTGTGCTTGGTGCTTGATTTGTGCCGCAAATGAAGAATCAGGAAGAGCAGGTGACTGTAATGAAGGAACTCGGCGGTGAGTTCAGCACATTGACCAATGGCGGGAGCGTCCAGATGCTTTGGAGATTCCTCCACGCTGGCATTGTCAGCTACGCCACATGGCGGCACTTTCTGGTGAGAACATGCTGACCTGGGTTCCAAGGCAAATCTCTTACGTGGCACTACTTCACGCCTGAAACTCGATAAAATCCTTCCATTATATTACACAGAACCTCTCTAACGCTTATACGAAGGCTGAAATGAATCCTACAACTGGTCCTAAAGAAATACTTATTGAACAAACATCCCATACGATACAATGCCCATAACTTCATTACGACCCCCTCTACCTGCACAGCTTGTGCTGCGCTACTGCAACAGTTCTAAACGCCAAAAAACTCCTTGTGCAGCAGCTGCACCAACTCTGTAGCTTCATCATCATCCACTACCAATGCAATGTTCACCTGCAGACAAACAAATGGAACAGCCAGCCACATCTCAGAAAATGACCTGGTGAAAAAAACTTGTTCAGAATTCTGCTGAAACCTCACACTCCAGAAACCCCTCCCGAAGCTCACCTTGGAAGCTCCCTGCGAGATCATCTGCACGTTGGTCCCGTTTCGTCTGAACACGCCAAACACCTTCTCCAGAATCACTGACGACCGGGACACGTTCCCAATCAAGCTGATAATCGACCGCCGCTGCAATAACTTGACCACCGCCACCTGCTCAAGCTCCTCCACCATCTTATCCAGCTCCTGCTGAATCAACTCCCGAGACCACAGCTTCGCGGGGTCCAGTGTGAGCGACAGGCTCACCTCACTCGTCGCCACCACATCGACCGAAATCCCCTGCGCCTCAAAAATCGCGAAAACTTTTGCGAGGAACCCAAACTGCCCGAGCATCCTCAGGCTGACCAGATCCAGCAGCGTGACCCCACGCTTCACCACAATGCTGGTCAGCAGCGCCGACGATAAATCCCTCTCTTGGGTAATCAACGTCCCGGGAGCGCTGCGATTATACGAGTTCTTCACCCTGACTGGAATATTCCCCTCCCGCGCCGGCCGCATGCTCTGCGGATGCAGCACCTGCGCTCCAAAGTACGCCAGCTCGGAAGCTTCCTCGAAGGTGAGGAAGGGCACAGCCACAGCGGAGCGGTGGAGGTTGGGGTCGCAGGTGAGCACGCCATCCACGTCCTTCCACACTTGCACCTCCCGCAGCCCCAGCGCTCGCCCTATGATGGTCGCCGTCAGGTCGCTGCCTCCACGGCCCAGCGTGGTCGTCGCACCCGTCTTCTTGCCCTGAGGGAGGGGCGAGGGGCGAGGGGCGAGGGGCGATGGGGGAGGAGAGAGGGGGGGGAGGGGAGATGGGTGAGAGGAGGTGCGACATGTTGTTGACAGTGATGCTGATGACATGGACGCCAACCACAGTGCAGTGCAAGCTAGAAGAGAGGCGTTTATGCAGAGGCGCCACTTATCCATCAGGGTTAGCAAGCATGCAAGATCGATTAAGTCGTTATAGACGGTTTACCAAACACCCAGTGCTTGCAAGCGCACGCCCCCAAACAACTGTCAGAAATTTGCCCTGCACCCCCCCCCCCCCCCCCCCCCCCCCCTTTACTCTCCCTCTCCCTACTCCACTCACCCTGCCCAGAAAGCCTGTGACCACCGGGATGAACGCCCTGCTGCTGCTGTCATCTCCACTGGCAGCAGCGCTTTCCCGGTGAGCATGGTAGGCGGAGAGGAGGGAGTTGGCCACGGTGGGGTAGGTCTCGTCCAGCACGTCCGCGTTGGTGAACTCGTCCGTCGTGATCACTCCCATGTGGAATGCGTCGAACTGGTGAATGGGGGGAGTATGGGAGCGCGCAGGGGGCGTTAGGGGGCATAATCAAGGGCCTCGTCCAGCACGTCCGCGTTGGTGAACTCGTCCGTTGTGATCACTCCCATCTGGAACGCGTCGAACTGGGGAATGGGGTGCAGGGATGGGGGGTTGTGGGGGGGGGATGAGGGGAGGGGAGGGAGGGTGGATTTCACAGCACAGGCGGGGTAGGTCTCGTCCAGCACGTCCGCGTTGGTGAACTCGTCCGTCGTTATCACTCCCATTTGGAACGCGTCGAACTGGAGTGCGGAAGGGGGTGGCAAGGGGTGGTGGTGTGTTTGAAGGTAGTACGGGAGGACACATGGGGCGAGAGACAGCAGTGGGCCAGGCCTCGTCCAGCACGTCCGCGTTGGAGAACTCGTCCGTTGTAATGTAATCACTCCCATCTGGAACGCGTCGAACTGACAGGGCGGGCGGGGGGGGAGGCGGGGAAGCGGGAGGAAGGAGAGGGGGAAGGGTGTACGAGAGGGCACATTGGGAGTGACGCAGCAGCAATAGAGGTCTCGTCCAGCACGTCCGCGTTGGTGAACTCGTCCGTGGTTATCACTCCCATCTGGAACGCGTCGAACTGAAAAGGAAAAGGGGGGAGTGTAAGGAACGGAGGTGGGTGTGGAGGGGGAAGAGGGACTGAGAAAGGAAAGGCACATGGGGAGGCAAAAATGGCCGAGGGAGAGGGAGAGAGGGAGGAAGAGAGGGAGGGGAGCTGGGTGGGTGGGCCAATGATGACGTCTAGTGAGTGGTTAATGTGTCGGTGAGGATGACGCCTTATGAACCGAGGGCGGATGGGAAGGAAAGATGGCGTGGAGGAGCCAGGGAGAGAGGGAGGGAGGGAGAAAGGGAGCCAGGGAGAGAGGGAGAGAGGGAGGGAGGGAGGGAGGGAGGGAGGGAGGGAGGGACAGACGGACGGACGGAGGGCTTGGTCCGCGTCGTACCTGCTTGGACGGCACTCCCAGAGAGTTTAGGTAGGCGGCGAAGATGCGCGTGGAGCAGCGCTCGCCGAACGACACGAGGTAATCCGAGGACCGCGGAGTCAGCTCGCGCATCAGCGCTATCCCCGTTACTAGCTGCTGCAGCTCGTGCATCAGTTCTGGTCAGAGGGGGCAGGGAGAGGATTGAAGCAAGGGGAAGAGGTGAGTGAGAAACCATATTAGAATTGGAAATCAAGTGCAGATGAGTGGAGTTGAGTGGACGGTTGACTTGAGCAGCGCAAGAGGATGTAAAAAGCAGATTGCGCACTGCACAGATTGCAGCGGAAGGGTTTAAAAGAACGGTCAGGGGTTTACGCGAACAGTCCGAGGGGTTTTACAGGGTTTAACCCGCAACGGCGACTGAGCAGCTCTCGCCAATGAATTCAGGGGCTAGCTTGCACGCACCCATGATACCCCTCACTTACTTTTGAAAATCACCTGCATAACTCACCCACACTACTCACCGTGCACCTCAGCGCATTCCACGCCGAGCTCCTCCATGGTGGACACGTGGAGCTCTCTGATTACTCGCAGCTCGTCGATCGCCGCGCACTTGGCGGACCCGCACGTCAGCGCCCTCTCGCCGACCTGCCAGTAACGGGGATGCAATGTAGATAGCGAGAGTTGTGAATTCGCCGTCGCTGTCGGTAAGACTCGGCGGAGAAGAAACAAGGTATGACGAGCCGAAAAAGAAAGGTACGTTCGTTGTTATGTCAGTCCTTGGAGGAACGATGATCGGCGAAGTGACTGGCCTGCAAACGTCAAATTCTCCTAAATCGGGCACAGGGGCAACAATACAAAGACCGGCTGCGAAGGCCACTCCTTTAGACGGCCGTCACTCTCCCTATGCCAGAAACCGGCTCTCAGAAGTCCGACTAGACGTCCACGTAGCACGTTTTCAGATTCTGAAATCGCATGAAGCGGGCAGCATTCGCGGTATTGGTCAAACTACGGTCAGCAGAGCATGGCGCACCTTGATCAGGTTGTTCGTCGTTTTCCCCATGGCGGACATGACGATGATCGGATTCTCCTCAGGAAAGGACTGGATCAAATCCGCCACCTCCTTCATGCGCGCCGCGTTCGCCACCGACGAGCCGCCGAACTTCATAACTACAGTGTACGGCACTTCTGGCGGCAGCGCATCTGGCGTCTCGGCGAGCGGCGCGTCGAGTGATTGCAGCGCCGACGCAGCTCGGACGGAAGACAACGTAGTGGCGTCTGATTGGTCCTGATCTAGGCGTCGCGAGGAAAGAGCGGGAATGGGAGACTGTGCCCGAGCGGCGGCGTTCTTCAGGGATAACGATTGGCTGGATTTGGCAGGAACCGGCTGGGAGATGCTAGGCAGGCCGTGAGATCTGGACCGTACGTTCCGATCTAGGCACTCTGCTCGTACTCTCGGAGCGCAAGTGGCAATATTGATACCAGGAGCCATGGCGAACGTGGGAATTCGCGCAAAAGTGTTGCTGATACCTCCAAGGCTTTTGTTCCGCACGGAGTGACAGTTATTGAGTGAGCACGGGATGTGATCGCGACTCGACCGGCTGCTACTATAAACAGGCTGATCGGGACAAGAAACGGTGACTTGCGTGCTGGCGGCTAGACTAGAACTAAACTGGTACCTACTCACTACTACCTGAACACTGGCTGTCGGCTGATACAAATAAGCCATCCTCTACTTCCCGAAAGACTATGAAGGCCTGACCAGCAAACGCCACGACGAGCAACACGAGCACACTCAACCCAGCGTAACTTCCTCGCAATGTTGCGACTAGCTTCCCGCGCGGTCTGTTCCACCTGCCCACAGCCACAGACAATGGCGCGTTGGAAAGGGGCCGGTTTTAGGCCCCAACCTACTCGAGCAGGCTTCACTGCGTTGGAGGAGCGGTGCCGTGTTGGACCCTGGAAGCAGGGTTTATGGAGTTCACCTACCCGCAAGTGCATAGATCTGCGCTGACTTGGACTTGAAAATGAAACGCTTGGACGATTGTGACTGCTCCAATCTTTGCTGTGCTGTGGTGCGTGCGAAGCGAAGCGAACGAGCCTGTTCCGTGACCGTTTGAACAGTGCTCGAGGAGGGGCTACGGGGTTGATGGATTGGCGGGAAAACGGCGAAAAGTGGAAGCGCGTTGTCTGTGAGATGGGAATCTGCGCCGCCCTGGGAGGAGTAACTTCGGACTCAACTGGCCGTGTCCCGTTCTGCGCAAAGACGGGTGCAATTTGTCTTGCGTTACAGATTCCGGCTCTTGTGCTTGAGGTTTGATTTCTTTGGAGCTTGAGCTGCACTGCTGAATCCCAACATTGGGAATGGGACCTCGAAAGTTCAGCGCGCCACTGAAAGCAGCGGGTTTTGCAAAAGCACAACGGGGCAGAGGCGCATGTTGGGGTAACCGGCCAACGAGACATCAACAGAAGCACCAAACCTGGGGGCTCCGCGCTGTGACGAGGCTGCAGAGGTAGGGTTGTGGTGGAACCGTGGCGGAGTTACACACGTGGGGAAGGCAAATAATCAATATTGGCGCATCTGAGAAAGGATGTTTTATGGTTCATTACACACGTTTTATTCTGAATCCCAACAGTGGTTTGTGTGCGTGAAAATGATGATAGAAAGCAGTCCAGGAAATCAGGTCGGAAACAATTCCAGGGCACGGCGCACCGGGTGCAGAACGCTTGTTGTGTAGAACGTCTTGGCAGGGCGCGGCGCACCGGGTTTCAAAGCTTCCACGCTCTAAATAGCCCTGTGAAATGCATCGCATCCGCGAGTCGTCACGCACCAAGTTATCGAGAAGTTAGTGACGATAAAAAATCCTTGTGAAATGTAGGACATGCTCTCCTTAAAGGCACCGACGTCACCCAGCTCTGCGCGCTCACCACCCTGTGAGTGCACTGTTTAGTACTTGCCTACAACCAGTATGTAGTTTGCATGCCACCGGTGGGTGGATTGGATTGCCTGCTGCTGCTGCTGCTGCTGCTGCTGCTCCTTGGATATTGTGTTCCTACCCACGCTGTCACTCGAATAAAACCGGTTGAATTGTATGCCTCCCTGCCAACCACGCAATCATCAAGCAACAAGCAACAAGCAATCACTTTCATCCCCTTTTCCCCCTCCCCTTTTTCCCCTGCCCTTTCCACTCACCATTCCTCCTCCCCCTTCCCCTTTCCCTTTCCTCCTCCCTCTTCTCCCTTCCCGTTGCCCGCTTCCCTTTCATGCGCTTCACATGCGCCTCACATGCGCCTCACATGCGCCTCACATGCGCCTCACATGCGCCTCACATGCGCCTCACATGCGCCTCACATGCGCCTCACATGCGCCTCACATGCGCCTCACATGCGCTTCACATGCGCCTCACATGCGCTTCACATGCGACTCGCTTCCTTGCACCGAAGCCCACCAATCAGCACCCCTCTCCCCGTCCCTTTCCCTTCCCCCTTCCCGCTACCCTTTCCCCTCCCAGGACTCAGGCACACAGCTAGCCATGGGCCTCACATGCGACTCGCCGCCCTGCACTGTGAGTGAGGGGAGGACGTGGGGGGGAACTGGGGAGGGCGGTGGATGGGGAGTGGCGGGAGGTTGGGGAACGGTGGGAGGGTAGCCAATGATGGGAGGAGTCAGGTATGCAGCTGGCCATGGGCCTCACATGCGACTCGCCACTCTGCAAGGTGAGTGAGGGGAGAGTGGCAGGGATAGGTGCTTGGTGCTGGGTGCTGGGTGCTTGGTGCTGGGTGGTGGGTGCTGGGTGGTGGGTGCTGGGTGGTGGGTGCTTGGTCTGGGTGGTGGGTGCTTGGTCTGGGTGGTGGGTGCTTGGTCTGGGTGGTGGGTGCTTGGTCTGGGTGGTGGGTGCTTGGTCTGGGTGGTGGGTGCTTGGTCTGGGTGGTGGGTGCTTGGTCTGGGTGGTGGGTGCTTGGTCTGGGTGGTGGGTGCTTGGTCTGGGTGGTGGGTGCTTGGTCTGGGTGGTGGGTGCTTGGTCTGGGTGGTGGGTGCTGGGTGGTGGCTGGTGTGTGCACCACTGGGGGGTCATGGTGTACTTGTGTGTATGATGCGCCATGCTCCTTTGTCAAGCTCCTCAATGCTCTCGCGTCTGTCTTCTCCTCAATCTCCATCCCATCCCATTCACCACAGCCTGGTATTGTATTACAACGCGCATGGCGCTCATGCCCCTCCCGGACAGCAGCGGCAACGAGCTGAGGGTGGAGGCGGCAGACCGGCGATTGATGCTAGCATGATTGCACCCTCTCCCTTCATGGGTGCTCCCACTCCCCACGGCCCGGCATTTCAACACGCCCCTCCCAGGCAGCACGGGCAGCGAGCCGAGCGTGCGGGTGGCGGACCGGCCGGGGCTGCTGATGGTGATTGTTGATGTGCTGACGGGGATGTTCGTTAGTGTGACGTCAGCAGAGATCGACACTGAGGTGGGTGTGACGTCAGCAGAGATCGACACTGAGGTGGGTGTGTGTGACGTCAGTGTAGATGGGTTCTGAGATGATGGGGGCGTGGTGAGGGGGGGCTCATGAGGAGGGCGTGTTGTGCATACTCGCCCATCGTGCTGCAGTGTGTGCTGGCGAAGGCTGTGTGCTCTGTGAATGCAGAGTGTGCTCACTAGCTTGTACCATGCTTAATCACCATCTCCCATCTCCCTTCGACCATAGTCCATGTGCGTGCAGGGGGTGGTGGCGAAGGATGTGCTTACATGTCATTCCATGCTTCACATCTCGCACAGCAATCAGCACCTCCCATGTCTCATGGCCCATTGTCCATCGTCCATCGATGTGCATGCAAAGAGTAATGGCGAAGGATGTGATTTCATGTCATACCATGCTGCATGTTTCACACAACGATCGCCGTCTCCCATCTCTCACCACGTGTGACCCATTGCCCATATATGTGTGTGCAGGGGTTGGTTGGTGGCATAGGATGTGATTACGGACTTGTACCATTCTTCACATCACATGCACTAATCACCATGTCCCCCTACCCACCTCCCATCGTCCATCTCCCATCTGTGTGCATGCAGGGCGTGGTGGCGAAGGATGTGTTCACGGTGTCGTACCATGGGGGGCCGCTGGATGTTGAGATGATCACGGTGAGATGAAACGACCATGGTGAGATGAAACGAGCACAGTGAGATGAAACGAGCACGGTGAGATGAAACGAGCACGGTGAGATGAAACGAGAACGGTGAGATGAAACGAGCACGGTGAGATGAAACGAGCACGGTGAGATGAAACGAGCACGGTGAGATGAAACGAGCACGGTGAGATGAAACGAGCACGGTGAGATGAAACAAGCACGGTGAGATGAAACGAGCACCGTGAGATGAAACGAGCACGGTGAGATGAAACGAGCACTGTGAGATGAAACAATCAGGGTGAGATGAAACGATCACAGTGAGATGAAACTATCACGGTGAAATGCTTGTGTCCACTGGCAAAGTTTTCCTATTCCTGTGAAGCTGTGGGTTCGACTTGGGGTCAGACAATGTTCGTTCTCTGACACACGTGCTCTCCTTCCTCTTATCGCTCATACCTCCTCCCCATCACACCTCGCTCAGTGCTCTCGACCCGTCTCTCTTTCCCCGTTCTCCTGGCTGGCCCCTAGTGCTCTCAACCCCACACCACCTCTCTCCCCATCTCATCAGTCCCTCTTTTATGCTTTCCCTTCCCCTCCCTCGTCCCCACCCCCCTCCTTCCATCTCATCCCAGCTCCCAGTGCATTGTCACCACCCTGGGCTATTACTTACAAGAACTCTCTGAACTCTCAGTTTTTTTTTTACCCGTCCCCATCCCCCCGCTTTCTCAATTCCAAACGCTTCTCAATCAATCCATGCCCTCCCTACACTCTCTCTCGTCCTTCTTTCACCATCTCCCACTCCATCCCTCCTCTCCCTTGCCCACCACAGCTCACGCTCAATGCCCTCAACTTCACTCTCTCGCGGGCCAGAGATCGAAGCAGAGGAGAGCTACTAGTGCCTCGAGGTATCTTATACCGAGGCAAAGGAGGGCTACTAGTGTAATGAGGCGCCTCATGACGAAACAGAAATCAAATCTAACGGTATAAGCACCACGTCCGGCAACATGGCAGATGTGGGGATGTGCTGCTCCTTTCCGTTCATTATGATTTGATCCAGCGTACTTTGGATTGGCTTGGCTTCCTCACTTCTGTACAGTTTGCGTTGTGTATTTAGTCGACTCTGATCAACAAGGAGCATGGTTGATGCTACCAACATCTCTGTGAGGTGTGCTGATCATACATGACCACCAGTACAGCTGATGACCACTCTGTGTGCCTTGCCTGCACTGCACATGCATGTCGGACTTGGAATGAGAGCAGCGTTCAGGTGCTGGTGATTCTGATTCTGCTGTCAGCACAGCTGACATGAAGGAAACTAACCAATCTGTTGACTCGTTACCTCGATATTTCGCTAAGAAGTTTCATTGCAGCAACCACAATTGCGCTCGCAGCTGTTACGTTACGGGTTTGAACGTATGATCTTGTCAGAATCTAGAACGAAAATCAATGAACTATGGAAGAGTTGGGTACAAGTACTAACCCTAATTGGGTTGTACCCTTTATGGACTACCCCACTATAGTCTACACAAAGTAAGCACTATAACATTTTGACACACCCCCCTAGGCAAAGTGGGGGAGAACAAGTGGTCACAAGACCAGTCAAGAAAAGCAAAGCAAGCTCAGGGTGGATCACAAAGTCACCACACATTACGAGCACAAGCAAATGGCCAAAAGGCCAGTTCACATGCAGAGATATATAAAAGAGAACAAACAGTACAGTGAGCATACCTTAGCAAGTGTAAGCACGTAGGTATATATATAGATCACAGTACAAGCAAAGTCACGAAGTGAGCAAGTGAGGCAAAGTAGGCACAAGGCCTAAGACAGTACAGAAACGCTGATGATCACCAGACTGAAGTGCCTTGGTGAATATAGCAGCACTGTTGGCCCTAGTGGCCACGTAAGTAAGACGAAGCTGACCACGCTGCTGCAGCTCTCGAGCAAGGAAGTAACGCAGAGCAATGTGCTTCGTTCGGTGCTCCAGTCTGTGCTCCTGACACAAGGCAATCATGGCCTTGTTGGGAGGCCGCTCTCCCAAGTCGGTCAGCAGGTAGGTGAGCCAGCGTAACTTCTGTGTCAGCAGATCTCAGCCTCACAACTGGAACTGAGAACAGAAGACGAGCGGGTAGACCGTCAAGAAACAGAGCTGGAACCAAGGCTAAAGGTGTAACCCTGTGGCGACCACTGCATAGATAGCTGCGCAGTTCACCCAGGTCAGTGCAGGTGTGTCTCTTCTGCAGCTACGACTTCACAAGGGCCAGTGCCTCAGTGTCAGCAGTGGTAAAGACCAAGTCGTCGACGTACACGAGGACGTAGAACGGCAGCAGCGAAGTTTCCGTACGTAGAAACAACGACGTGTCAGCAGTCGAAGGAGCAAACCCAAGAGCCGCAAGTGCCGTCCTCAGTATGTCGTGCCACTCGCGAGGCGCCTGACGGAGACCGTAGACTGGCCGCCGGAGGCTCCACTGGGTACCTGCAGGAAACGACCTAGTGAAGCCAGGTGGGCGGCGCAGCCAGATCTCCTCGTGCAGGCTGCCCTGCAGGAAAGCTGTGCTGAAGTCAAGAGAGTGCAGCTCGTAGTCACGCTAAGTTGCGACGTGCAGCAACACCCGAAGAGTAGTCATCTTCAGGGTGGGGGAGAAGGTCTGAAAGTAGTCAACCCTCTATTGCAACCTAAGGCTCAAGCAACGTAACGCGCCTTGAAGGCAGGCGGAGAACCCGGCGGCCGCTTCACCCTGAACATCCACATGCCATCGAATATGTTCGCCCCAGAAGGGGGAACTGCGTCGTTGTAGGTGCCTGTGGACTTCCAGGATGCCATCTCTGTGCCCACGGCTGTCTGCCACTTAGAGGAGTAGGGACCCATAATCGCCTCTGCGTAAGAGCGCGAGTTCGGGATGTCTGGTGCATCCGGGTCTCCCTCAGGGGCAAGCAGCATGGCCACGAGAGGAGGTACAGCAGCTGCAAGACACTCAAAGTCCTCCTACCTGTCCTCAAGGACGTCCGTGCCAAGAGCACACTCACCCCCGATGGACGGAGGACAGGCAGACTCAGACTCAGCAATAAGAGCAGTATCGTAGTCGAGACGACAAGCTGCAGCAAAGTCAACAAGCCCAGAAACCAGGGCAGACGCAGCAGTGGACTCGAAAGAAGGGTCAGTGACAACATTAGCGAGAAGGCGAGGGACAGTGGGACTGGCAACACGAGCTAGGTCAGACTCAGGGTCAGGAACGGCAGGAAGAGAGGACGCAGGAGGAGGCGGCAGGGGAACAAACAGTGGAACAGAGGAAGGACGAAGGGCCATAACGTGCGTGCTGGGGATAGGAGGAGGACGCGGACGAGGAACACGACGACCAGTGCGCACAATGCAAATAGGCGAGGCAAAACGAGACTCAGGCTCACGACGCTCTGTAAAAGAGTCTGTTTGCTCAGCGTAAGGAGAAGGAGCAGGCAGTGGGGAGTCTGGTTGTAACTATGGCTGCGACTGGCAAGGGGGGGGACTCAGTAAGCTAGGAGGAAGGCCAGTAGAAGACGGGAGACTAAGAACCTGGCGAAGGACCGAATCAGGTGGCGGCAGAGACGACGGTGGTGGCGGAACGAAAAACGGTCGCCGCTGCACAATGCCTCCAGCACCAGTTTCGCCAGACGCAACACCCCCGACGCCAGCACCCCCAGCTCTAGGTTCAAAAGCTCCAGTGCCGCCAGCGCCAGGGCCTCCAGATCCAGTGCCTCCAGCTCCAGCGCCTCCAGCGCCAGGGTCTCCAGCTCCAGCTCCAGCGCCTCTAGCGCCAGGGTCTCCAGCTCCTGCTCCTCCAGCTCCAGCGCCTCCAACACCTCTAGCCCCGGCAGTTCTAGTACCTCTAGTACGCGCAACTCCAGGACCAGCAGCACCAGCACCTCCTGTACCCCCAGCTCAAGCAGGAACTCCAGCAACTCCAAGACTAGTAGCTCCATCTCCTCCAGCTCCAGTGCCTCCAGCGGTAGAGCCTCCAGCTCCGGCAGCTCCACTCCGAAGGCGAGTGCACCGAGCAAACCACTCGCGCAGCAGCTGCGCGGAGAGAGGCTCCCGCCGGGGAGACAGTCGTGGCGAGGCACCCGCAGGACCTCCAGCAGACGCAGTACCCCTAGGCTCAGCACCCCCAGACTCCGCACCCTCAGACTCAGCACCCCCAGGCTCCGCACACTCAGGCTTAGTACCCCCAGGCTCCACACCCCCAGGCTCAGCACCCCCAGACCCCGCACCCTCAGACTCAGCACCCCCAGGCTCCGCACACGCGGGCTCCGCACTTGCAGGCTCAGCACCCCCAGACGCAGCACCCCCAGACGCAACAACTCTAGCAGCACCTGAGTCTACAGCGACCTCGATAGGCACAGTCCCGGGGAGTGGGTCTACGTGAGACACACCTGAGGGAGCAGGACCCTAAGGGGGGAGTGGGTTTACGTGAGACACACCTGAGGGAGCAGGACCCTAAGGGGGGAGGGGGTCTACCGGAGGGGGACCTGGAGCAAGGAAGAGCGGCGGGGGTGGGAGAGGGGCAGAGCGGTAGGGGAAGAGACGGTAAAAGGGAACCCACTCGTCAAACGTGACGTCCTGAGAGGGCAGGACACGGCGCGAGGTGGGGTGGTAAAACAACCAGCCATGCGCGTCAGGGGGAAAGCCAAGGAAGACGCAGGGAATAGCGCGGAAGGAGAGCTTGTCCGCGGACGTATCGCGAACAGAGACACGAGAGCCCCGGACCCGGAACACCGACGCATCGCCAACCTTCCCTGTCCAACGCAGTGTAGGCGAGGTCTCCGGGAAGGAGACACGGGGCCAGAGGTTGAGCTGATGCACAGCGTACCGGACCGCAAACGGCCACAGAAAATGGGGACCAATCGCATGGATCATGGAGGTACGAGCGACCTCCATGACTAAGCCAATGCGGCACACAGCAATCCCATTTTGCTGCGGGGAGGCCGGAAGCGTGAACGAGTGGAGGATGCCCTCCCCACGACAAAAGTCCCGCAAGAGGTCAGATGTGAACTCACCACCTGTGTCAGAGTGTAGACGCAGGACAGGAAGGTCCTGGCGGAACCGCTCGCGGAGCTGGAGACGGACTGCGCGGATCCAACGGATCAAGACATCAGGGACCTCACCCTTGCTGCGCAAGGGGAAGACCGTGGTGTAACGCGTGTAGTTGTCAACAACCAGCAGAAAGTAGCGCTCGCGGCCCTGTCCACTGACGCGGGCTGGGCCCTACACGTCCATGTGGAGAGTCTGCAGGGGAGCAGTCCTTGGGGGAAACGAGGAGTGAGGAGCGGCACGCTGCCGCCCCTCGACGCAAGGAAGGCAGGGTGGGGCAGCTGAGGGCGGGAGGGGAGGAAGAGACCTCAGGAGACCAGAAACAAGAGGCAGGAGTGCATGCCACGAAGGCGAGGCAGGGAGGGGTGACCAAGACAGTGGTGCCACAGGAGAGTCTAGTGCGATAGGAGGCGACACAAGCAAGGGAGTGCTACCGGACCTGACGTGAACACCTGGGCAGAGCTACCTGAGAAGGCTCGGTAGACAGTGTGTACAGACTCGACCCAGGCCAACGGGTGAACGTGGCCAGGTGACGGCCCGTCTGTGTACACGTGCAGATAGACACACGCTGACCCCCAGGAGTGGTGGTAGTGACCATCGCATCCTGGAGGGCAGCGGTACTCACCAAGTTTGTAGAGAACGAGGGGAGGTGAAGACCTAAGAGTAAATCGGACGGAACCGCCGGACACAGGAAAACAGTGGAGGAACAGGCAAGAATTGGGCCCCCTGACGGGTCAGCCAGTCTGACCGGAAAAGGTGTAGAGAGAGGAGAGAGGGTGGTACTATCGTGAAAGAAATAGCGGGAAGCACCTAAGTCAATCGTAAAGGTGTGCAAGGCCGCAGCAGGCGTAATACCAGGGAGAGCAGACTCACTAGCCCCTAGAGCAGCAGCCTCTATACTTGGATCTAGCGGCACACACCGGTAACAGTCACCCTCGGCACTAACAGATAGGGCATACATAGCAGCAAGGATAGCATCATAGTCAAGATCAAAGATATCAACGCCAGACCTAAGCAGCTCTGCCCAGCGGGGGCGCTCAGCCTTGTCACCAAACTCTGCGCGCCAAGCGTCGTCTAGGCGGGAGAAGCAGCGGTGCTGAGTGTGAGGCTTCCCGCATGTCTGACCAGCACGGTCACCCGTGCGAATGACATACGGGCAGCTAACACTACCCCCCGGCGCCCCACGCTAAACAAACCACTCACGAAGCTGCTGGGGCGAAGGGGTCTCACTATGACGCTGTTGCTGCTACCTCTGGCCACCGCCAGAACCTCCCCTCTGATTAGCTCCACCCCGACTGCCACCAATCCCACCACTGCCACGACCGCCACCCCCACCGCCTCCACCGCTACCGCCACCAAAGCCCCTACTCCTGCCACCACTTCCACCGCTGCCACCACCTCCGCTACCTCCACCACCTCCACTGCCGCCACCACCACCATCCCCGCTGCCACCGCCACCACTCCTGCCACCCTTGTCCTTGCTGCTGCGGCGCTTCCCACCAATAGCAAAAGCAGCCCCGACATCCTCAGCATCAAGGATGTCAACAACAGCAGCAGAAGCGTAGGAGGGGGCAACGGGGGAGGGGGAACACCCCTCAAAGAAGGGTGTGCGAGGAGTGCTACGAGCAGCACCTACAGCGACTAGTCTCAGCTACAAGGAGGTGCTTCTCGAGCAGGTCGAGAGTGAGGTCTGTGGGGTCCAGTGCGAGAAAGTGGTCCTTGACTGCGCGAAGAGAGTCAGGGAGGCGGGTGACTATTAAGTAGAGAGTGATGTACATCGGGGGGGGGGGGGAGGGGGGGGGGGGGGGGTTCCTGTCTAGGAACTCTGCTGGGAGGGCAGCGCGGTAGCGAGCGTCGCTAGTGCGAAGGTGGGTAGCGAGGTCCTCTACTGTGGCAAAGGCGGACAGCTCGGGAAACAAGTAGGGCAGTAGAAGACGGCCTAGAGCAGTAGTGGCAGGGGAGGAGTAACGGGCGACTACAGCGTCGTACAGTGCTTTAGCAGTCTTGTGCTGTCCGAAGTGAGCGCGTTTGGATAACGGTAGGTGGTCGCAAACGGCTAAGCGAACAGCATCGTCACGGGTAAGCCACTGTGAGCGAGTCGCACTGTCAGCTGTGGCGGGAGGGGCGAGAGAGGCTCCAGACATGTGGTCAAACAACGAAACGCTGTCTCTAGATCGCTCAGTAGGTACAGTTGTAAGTCGTCGAGCCACGTATCGAACTGGATCGGACGGCCCTCATGATTGAAGGTGAGTACACTGAGAGAAGCCATAGCGGGCAGAGCAGGGTAGCGTGCTACCAGCAGAGCAGCACGCAGTAGGGCGAGCAGTAGCCGGGCGGCGCAAGCTGCAGGGCTTGGCCCCGTCGCCCCGTCGCCCTAGCTGCGGCCCTTAGCGACACGTCGCCCCGTCGCTCCTAGCCACGGCCTCTAGCGACCCGTCGCCCCGTCGCCCAACCCTCGGCCCCTTGGCCCCGTCGCCCCTAGCCGCGGCCCCTTGGCCCTGTCGCCCCTACCCGCGGCCCCCCCTCACGACCCGTTGCCCTGTCGCCCCTAGCCGCGGCCCCGTCGCCCCGTCGCCCCGTCGCCCTAGCCTTGGCCCCTAGCGACCCGCGACCCGTCGCCCCTAGCCGCGGCCCCCGTCGCCCCGTCGCCCTAGCCTCGGCCCCTAGCGACCCGCGACCCGTCGCCCCTTCCCCCCCCTTGCCTCGGCCCATCGCGACCCGTTGCCCCTCGCCGCAGCCCCGTCGCCCCGTCGCCCTAGCCATGGCCCCCTCGACCTCGGCCCCTCGGCCCCTCGGCCCCTAGGCCCCTAGGTCCCTCGGCTTCGCCCCTCGGCCCCTAGGCCCCAAGCCCTTCGGCCCCTTGGCCCCTCGGCCCCTAGGCCCCCCCCTTCGTGTTTGGCCCCTCGGCCCCTAGGCCCCTCGGCCCCGCCCCTCGGCCCCTCGGCCCCTAGGCCCCAGGCCCCTAGGCCCCTTGGCCCCTCGGCCCCTAGGCCCCCCCCTTCGTGTTTGGCCCCTCGGCCCCTAGGCCCCTCGGCCCCGCCCCTCGGCCCCTAGGCCCCAGGCCCCTCGGCCCCTAGGCCCCCCCCTTTCGTGTTTGGCCCCTCGGCCCCTCGGCCCCTTGACCCCGCCCCTCGGCCCCTCGGCCCCTAGGCTCCAGGCCCCTCGGCCCCTTGGCCTCTCTGTAAGTGCTGCTACTACAGCTGCTACTGCTGCTACTGCTACTGCTGCTACTGCTGCTCCTGCGTGCTGCACAGCTATGGCTTCGCTTAGGGTTCTCGCGTTCGATCATGAGGGCAGACCGGTTCATTTTGACACGTGGCTCGACGACCTGCAGCTGTACCTACTGAGCGATTCTAAGGGCAGTGTTTCGCTGTTTGACCATACGTCAGGCGCCGCTCCTGCCCCTCCCGACACAGCTGACAGTGCGACTCGCTCACAGTGGCTTACTCGCGACGCTGCTGCTGCCATTCGCAACCACCTGCCGTAAGCCGAATGTGCCCACTTTGGACAGCACAGGACAGCACAGGCACTGTACGACGCTGTAGTCACTCGCTACTCCTCGCCTGCCATTGCTGCTCTAGGCCCCCTGCTTCTGCCCTACCTGTTCCCCGAGCTGTCCACCTTTACCACGGTAGAGGACCTTGTTTCCCACCTGCGCACTAGTGATGCTCGCTACCGCGCTACCGTCCCTACTGAGTTCCTTGACAGGAACCAGCCCCCGATGTTCATCACCCTCTACTTCATCGTCACTCACCTCCCTGACTCTCTTCGCTCTGTCAGGGACCACTTTCTCTCACTTGACCCCACCTCCCTCACTGTTGACCAACTCGAGCAACACCTCCTCACAGCTGAGACTAGTGCGGTTGTTGTAGGTGCTGCTCGCGGCACTCCGCGCCCGCCCTTCGTTGAGGGGTGCTCCCCCTCCCCCCTTGCCCCCTCTTACGCCTCTGCTGCTGCTGCAGACGTCCCTCGTGTTGAGGACGTCGGAGCTGCTTCTGCTAGTGCAAAGCGCCGCAGCGGCAAGGGCAAGGGTAGCAAGGGTGGTGGAGGGGGCAGCGGGAGTGGTGGTGGGGGCAGCAGTGGAGGTGGTGGAGGCAGCGGAGGTGGTGGCAGCAGTGGGAGTCGTGGCGAGGGTGGGGGTGTTGGTGGCGGCGGTGGAGGCAGCAGTGGGAGTGGCGGCAGTGGCGGCGGTGGGACTGGTGGCGGTGGGACTGGCAGCAGCGGCGTCTGAGCGAGACCCAGTCGCCCCAGCAGCTCCGTGAGTGGTTTTTTTAGCGTGGGACGTCTGGGGGTAGTGATAGCTGCCCGTATGTCATTCGCATAGGTGTTCGTGCTGGTCAGACATGCGGGAATCTTCACACTGAGTTTGGTGACGACGTCAAGCTTCCTCGCTGGGCAGATCTGCTTAGGTCTAGGATTGCAATCTTTGACCTAGACTTTGATGCTTTTCTTTCTGCTATGTATGCTTTGTTTGTTAGTGCTGAGGGTGTTTGTTACCGGTGTGTGCCGCCTGACCCAGGTATAGCTGCTGCTGCTCTAGGTGCTAGTGAGTCTGGTACTCTCCCTGGTACTGCGCCTGCTCAGGCCTTGCACACCTTCACGTTGGACTCAGGCACCTCGCGCTGTTTCTTTTGTGACAGCACCACTCTCACTCCTCTCCCTGCACCTGTCCCGGTCAGACTGGCTGACCCCTCTGGGGGCCCGATCGTTGTCCGTTCCTCCACTGTCCTCCCGTGTCCGGCGGTTCCGTCCGGCTCACTCTCAGGTCTTCACCTCCCCTCGTTCTCTACGAACTTGGTGAGTACCGCTGCCCTCCAGGATGCGATGGTCACTACCACCACTCTTGGGGGTCAGCGTGTGTCGATCTGCACGTGCACACGGACGGGGCGTCACCTGGCCACGTTCACTCGTCGCCCAGGGTCGAGTCTGTACACACTCGCTACCGAGCCTCCTCATGTAGCTGCATCTGCTCAGGTGTCCGCGTGAGGTCAGGTAGCCGCCTCTTGCTCGTGTTGCCTCCTTTCGCACCAGACTCTTCTGTGGCACCACCGCCTTGGGCACCCCTCCCTGCCACGCCTTCGTGGCATGCACTCTTGTCTTCTTGTCTCTGGTCTTCCCAGGTGTCTGCCTCCCCTCCCGCCCTCGCCTGCCCCGCCCTGCCTTTTGTGCGTCGAGGGGCGACAGCGCGCCGCTCCTCACTCCTCCTCGTTTCCCCCGACGACTGCTCCACTACAGACTCTCCACGTGGACGTGTGGGGCCCAGTCCGCGTCAGTGGACAGAGCCGCGAGCGGTACTTTCTGCTGGTAGTTGAGGACTACACGCGGTACACCACGGTCTTCCCCTTGCGCAGCAATGGTGAAGTCGTTGATATCTTGATCCCTTGGATCCGCACAGTCCGTCTCCAGCTCCACGAGCGTTTCGGCCAGGACCTTCCTGTCCTGCGTCTGCACTCTGACAGAGGTGGTGAGTTCTCCTCCAACCTCTTGCGGGACTTTTGTCATGGGAAGGGCATTCTCCAGTCGTTCACGCTTCCGGACTCCCCTCAGCAAAATGGGATTGCTGAGCGCCGCATTGGCTTAGTCATGGAGGTCTCTCGTACCCCCATTTTCTGTGGCCATTTGAGGTCCGGTACGCTGCGCATCAGCTCAACCTCTGGCCCCGTGTCTCCTTACCGGAGACCTCGCCCACACTGCGTTGGACGGGGGAGGTTGGCGATGCGTCAGTGTTCCGGGTCTGGGGTTCTCGTGCCTTTGTTCGCGATACGTCCGCGGACAAGCTCTCCGCCTGTGCTATCCCCTGCGTCTTCCTTGGCTTCCCCCCTGACGCGCCTGGCTGGCAGTTTTACCACCCCACCTCGTGCCGTGTCCTCCCGTCTCAGGACGTCACGTTCTACGAGTCGGTTCCCTTCTACCGTCTCTTCCCCTACCGCTCTGCCCCTCCCCCACCCCCGCCGCTCTTCCTTGCTCCCGGTCCCCCTCCAGTAGACCCCCTCCCGCCCCAGGGTCCTGCTCCCTCATGTGTGTCTCACGTAGACCCTCTCCCTGGTGCTGCGCCTGTCGAGGTAGCTGTCGGCTCAGGTGCTGCTCCAGGTGCTACGTGTGGGGGTGATGCGTTTGGGGGTGCGGAGCCGGGGGGTGCGGGGTCTGAGGGTGCTGGGTCTGGGGGTGCTGAGCCTGGGGGTGAGGAGCCTAGGGGTGCTGAGCCTGAGGGTGTTGAGCCTGGGGGTGCTGAGTCGGAGGGTGCGGAGTCTGGGGGTGCTGAGCCTCGGGGTGCTGCTTCGTCTGGAGGTCCTGCTGGTGCTTCGCCGCGACTGTCTCCGCAACAGCTGCATGAGTGGCTTGTTCGGCGTGCACGCTTTCGGAGTGGAGCTCCCGGAGCTGGAGGCGCTGGAGACGCTGGAGCTGGAGGTGCTGGTGTTACTGCTGGAGTTGGTGGTAGTGGAGGTACTGTGGCTGCTGGTCCTGGAGGTGCTCGTACCAGGGAGACTGGAGCTGCCGGGACTGGTGGTGTTGGGGGCACTAGAGCTGGAGACCCTACGGAGCCTGGAGCTGCTGGAGCTGGAGGCTCTTGCGCTGGTGGAGCTGGCGCTGGAGGCACTGGAGCTGGAGGAGCTGGAGTTGGAGGCACTTGCTCGGGAGGCGCTGGAGCTGCAGGAGCTGGAGTTGTTGACCCTGGAGCTAGAGGTGCTGGAGGCACTGTGCGGCCGCGACCGTACTTTGTTCCCCTGCTTCAGCAGGTTCTTAGTTTCCCGTCTTCTACTAGCCTTACTCCTCCCTTACTATGTCCACTGCCTGACCAGTCGTAGCCGTCGTTATAGCCTGCCTCCCCTCTGCCTGCTCCCTCTCCTTACACTGAGCAGTCCGGCGGTCTTACAGAGCGTCGTGAGCCTGCGTCTCGTCCTGTCTTGCGTGTTCGCACAGCTCGTCGCGCTCCTCGTTCGCGTCCTCCTCTTGTCCCCGGCACGCACGCTATGGCACTTCATCCTTCCTCTGTTCCACTGCGTGTTCCTCCGCTTGCTCCTCCCAAGTCCTCTCTTCCTGAGGTCCCTGACCCTGAGTCTGACAGCGCTCGTGCTGCCAGTCCCAGAGTCTCTCGTCTCCTCGCCACTACTATCACAGAACTTTCTTTTGAGTCTGCTGCTGCGTCTGCCCTTGTTGCTGAGCTGCTTGACTTTGCTGCTGCCTGCCGTCTATACTACGCCACTGCTCTTGTTGCTGAGTCTGCGTCTGCCAGTCCTCAGTCCGTCGGGGGTGAGTGTGCTCTTGGCACGGACGTCCTTGAGGACAGGCAGGAGGACTTTGAGTGTCTTGCAGCTGCTGTACCTCATTTCGCTTCCATGCTGCTTGCCCCTGAGGGAGACCCGGATGCACCAGACATCCCGACCCCGCGCTCTTACGCAGAGGCGATTACGGCTCCGTACTCCTCTAAGTGGCAGGCAGCCATGGATGCCGAGATGGCATCCTGGAAGTCCACAGGCACCTACGTCGACGAGGTTCCCCCACCTGGAACGAACATAGTCGATGGCATGTGGATCTTCAGGTTGAAGCGGCCGCCGGGTTCTCCGGCTGCCTTCAAGGCGCGTTACGTTGCTCGAGGCTTTAGTCAGCGACAGGGAGTTGACTACTTCCAGACCTTCTCCCCCATCCCGAAGATGACTACTCTTTGGGTGTTGCTGCACGTCGTTGCTCAGCGTGACTACGAGTTGCACTCTCTGGACTTCAGCACAGCTTTTCTGCAGGGCAGCCTGCACGAGGAGATCTGGCTGCGTCGCCCACCTGGCTTCACTGAGTCTTTTCCTGCAGGTACTCAGTGGAGCCTTCAGCGGCCAGTCTACGGTCTCCGCCAGGCGCCTCGCGAGTGGCACGACACACTGAGGACTACACTTGCGGCTCTTGGGTTTGCTCCTGCTACTACTGACCCGTCGCTGTTTCTACGCACCGACACCTCGCTGCCGCCATTCTACGTCTTCGTGTACATCGACGACCTCGTGTTTGCCACTGCTGACACTGAGGCACTGACCCTTGTGAAGTCGGAGCTGCAGGATAGACACACCTGCACTGACCTGGGTGAACTTCGCAGCTATCTTGGCTTGCAGATCACCCGGGATAGAGCTCGGCGCACCATCACCCTGACTCAGTCACACATGGTGCACCAGGTCCTTCAGCGCTTCGGCTTCCAGTTCTCCGCGCCACAGCCCACTTCTCTGTCTACCAGCCACTGGCTCTCAGCTCCACCTTCGGACGAGTCTGTAGAGCCGAGTGGTCCGTACCCAGAGCTTGTGGGTTGCCTCATGTACCTTATGACGTGCACACGACCTGACCTCGTGTACCCTCTCAGCCTCCTGGCTCGCTACGTGGCTCTCGGCAGGCACCAAAAGGTGCACTGGGATGCTGCGAAGAGGGTACTGCGTTACTTGTGCAGTTTGTCAGGCATGGGGCTCGTGCTTGGAGGACGGGGTCCAGTTGTCCTCATCGGGCACGCAGACGCTTCTTGGGTTGACGACTCAGCTACGAAGCGGTCGTCACAGGGTTACACCTTCAGCCTTGGCTCTGGCTTTGTTTCCTTGCGATCTATCCGCTCGTCTTCGGTTCTCAGCTCCAGTTGTGAGGCTGAGATCTACGCCGGGGCCATGACTGCACAGGAGCTACGCTGGCTCACCTACCTGCTGACTGACTTGAGAGAGCAGCCTCGTTCGCCTCCAGTTTTGTACGTAGACAACAATGCCATGATTGTCTTGTGTCAGGAGCACAGACTGGAGCACAGAACGAAGCACATCGCTCTGCGATACTTCCTTGCTCGAGAGTTGCAGCAGCGTGGCCAGCTTCGTCTTGCGTACGTGGCCACTAGGGCCAACACTGCTGATATATTCACCAAGGCACTTCCGCCTGGTGATCATCAGTGCTTCTCTACTGTGTTAGGCCTTGTGCCTACTTTGCCTCACTTGCTTACTGCTTGACTCTGCTTGTACTGTGATCTATATATATACCTGCATGCTTGCATTTGCTAGGATATTATCACTGTATCGTTTTTTCTCTTTATATCACTCTGCATGTGAACTTGCCTTGTGGCCCTTTGCTTGTGCTCGGACTGCGTGGTGACTTTGTGATCCACCCTGAGCTTGCTTTGCTTTTCGTGACTGGTCTTGTGACCACTTGTTCTCCCCCACTTTGCCTATGGGGGTGTGTCAGAACATTATAGATTTTACATTTGTGTAGGCTATAGTGGGGTAGCCCATAAGGGGTACAACCCAATTAGGGTTAGTACTGGTACCCAACTTCTGTTCCATGCATTCATTCTCGTTTGTAACTTTGACAGCACATACTCGGTTGTAGAATGTCGTCAGTTCCCTCCAGCTCGGTCCAGTGTTGAGCAATGCATACCAAAGTGCACAGTTGGAGTGTACTCGCCAAATACCTACGCTCCGGTATGCGGTATGCAAAACCTCGCTATATCGCTAGGGCTGCTACACACAAAACCAGGAGCGTGCAGGGCTTCACCTTAACAGCCCATTCCTCCGCCGCCCATTCCACCGTCGCCCGTTCCTCCGCCGCCTGTTCCTCCGCCACCCGTTCCTCCGCCGCCTGTTCCTCCGCCGCCCGTTCAGCTGCCGCCCATGCCCCTTTAGGACCCATGCCTGCTTCTGATCCGGGAGCAGGGGCACCCATGCCATCATCCATATCTCCCATGCCTGCTTCTGATCCGGGAGCAGGGGCACCCATGCCGTCACCCATATCTCCCACGCCTGCTTCTGATCCGGGAGCAGGGGCACCCATGCCATCATCCATATCTCCCACGCCTGCTTTTGATCTGGGAGCAGGGGCACCCATGCCATCATCCATATCTCCCACGCCTGCTTCTGATCCAGGAGCAGGGGCACCCATGCCATCATCCATATCTCCCATGCATGCTTCTGATCGAGGAGCATGGGCACCCATGCCATCATCAATATCTCCCATGTCTGCTTCTGATCCGGGAGCAGGGGCACCCATGCCATCATCCATATCTCCCATGCCTGCTTCTGATCCGGGAGCAGGGGCACCCATGCCATCACCCATATCTCCCATGCCTGCTTCCGATCCAGGAGCGGACGGCCCAAATCCGCCCATTCCTCCATCTCCTCCGCCACCTATTTCGCCGCCGCCTCCTTTTCCGCCACCGCCTGTTCCGCCACCTCCCATCCCGCCACCACCCATGCCGCCTCCTCCCGTTCCGCCACCGCCCGTTCCGCCACCGCCCATTCCGCCACCGCCACCCGTCCATCTGCCAGCCATCGCGAAAAAGGGCAGGCCGAAAAGAAACGTAAAAGTTACTATGCTGCAACTTTCAATATTTTTTTTTACGCCAAAAAAAAAAGTCAATGTTCTAAATCTGTGTACCGAACGTGACTTGCGAAGCAACTTTTCCGTCACTCTTCCGTCACTAACTGTACACATTGACTCAACTGACCAAGTATACAGTAAAGCAACTTTTCCGTCAATTTTGAGCAACCTGTGCGAAAGTGTCACGACAAAGCCACGTGGCATACGACGTACTCGAGATGAAACTCCAACGTGCTGACGTGGAGGTTATCGTACTCTAACGTTAACCGTCAGATGCGAATTTGCTTGACACACGTGATCCTGCCATGTGGACCAATCAGAGCCTGACATCAGTGTATAGTAACAACGTATGATCAGCTGGCAATTACAACAAAAAACCCTATAATGTGTGCACTATAATGTGTGTATCTCTTCATTTTTCAAATAGTATTCACAACGCATCACTCACTTAGTTTGTACATGTACGCCTATCTTGTAATGCACTGCTAAGTGTCTAGAACGTCTTCTCTACCCAACCTTAATACAATCACTACGCCTATACACAGCTAACAAGCTGCAAACTCTGCAGAGTTAGGAAACGAATTTAACCTGCAAGAACAAAGAAAAGAACAACATGGTGAACAAGCGAAAAATGTCAACTTTCCGCCACTCACCATTCGGTTTCGTAATTCTCGAGTATGCTATAATGGGGAAAAAAATAAACATATTGCGCTTGAGGTTGATGGTAAGCTTGCAAGAAAAGGTACGGCCTGCAACACATGCAAACACAGCGTGATGTTATGCATCTCGCCGAAGATTGCTCCCGAGGGGTTAGTTTTATAGGAGATTTTGCTAAACACCACGACAAATACTTGTCCTTAGCACAGCCAAACTCTGCGGTACAATCGAGGACGGTTAGGCAAACACAGAACGCAAGGCCCAAAACTGAATACATCGCAACGACAGTAGATACGCACAAAACAAAGCAATGAAATGTTACATTGAGATTAACAACCTGAAAAAACTTGGTTGTGAAAAGAGAACGACAAAAAAAAGACAGCATAAAACATTACAAATTGTGAAATGACGAGGAATGAGATTGACTAAGGGAAAGTTGGGTACAAGTACAAACCCTAGAAAACTGTACCCCATATGTGCTACCCCACTATAGCCTACAGCAGCTATGTCATATAAATCTGACACACCCCCATAGGCAAAGTGGGGGAGAACAAGGGGTCACAAGACCAGTCAAGCAAAGCAAGGCAAGCTCAGGGTGGATCACAAAGTCACCACACATTCCGAGCACAAGTTCAAGGCCAGAAGGCCAGTTCACATGCAGGATTACATATATATATAAGGCTAGACAAGCAAGAGCAGGTGTATATATATATGTAACAGTACAAACAAGGTCAAGGGGTGAGCAAGTGAGGCAAGGCAGGCACAAGACCAAGCTGAGTACAGAAGCGCTGATGATCACAAGGCGCAAGTGCCTTGGTGAAGATATCAGCAGTGTTGGCCTGAGAGGCCACGTACGCAAGACGCAGCTGACCACGCTGCTGTAGCTCACGAGCAAGGAAGTAGCGAAGAGCAATGTGCTTCGTTCTGTGCTCCAGTCTCTGCTCCCGACACAAGGCCAGCATGGCCTTGTTGTCTACGTACAGCACTGGAGGAGAACGAGGCGGCTCTCCGAGGTCAGTCAGCAGGTAGGTGAGCCAGCGAAGCTCCTGTGCAGCCATGGCTCCTGCGTAGATCTCAGCCTCACAACTAAAACCGAGAACAGAGGACGAGCGGGTAGCCCGCCACGAAACAGAGCCGGAACCAAGGCTGAAGGTGTAACCCTGTGACGACCGCTGCGTAGCCTGGTCGTCAGCCCAAGAAGCGTCTGCGTGCCCAGTGAGGACCACTGGACTCTGCCCTCCAAGCACAAGCCCCATGCCCGACGTACTGCACAAGTAGCGCAACACCCTCTTCGCTGCAGCCATGTGCTCCGGTCTGTGTCTCCCAGGAGCAACATAGCGTGCGAGAATGCTAAGAGGGTATGCAAGGTCAGGTCGTGTGCAGGTCATCAGGTACATGAGGCAGCCAACAAGCTCTGGGTACGGGCCACTCGACTCTACGGACTCATCCGAAGGCAGAGCTGAGAGCGAGTGGTGAGTAGGCAGAGGAGTGGCCTGAGGCGAGGAGTACGTGAAGCCGAAGCGCTGAAGGACCTGCTGCACCATGTGTGACTGAGTCAGGGTAATGGTGCGGCGTGCTCTGTCCCGGGTGATCTGCAAGCCAAGGTAGCTGCGCAGTTCACCCAGGTCTGTGCACGTGTGTCTCTTCTGTAGCTCGAACTTCACGTGGGCGAGTCCAGCAGTGTCAGCTGTGGCAAAGACCAAGTCGTCGACGTACACGAGGATGTAGAACGGCGGCAAAGAAGTGTCGGTGCGCAGAAACAGCGACGGGTCGGCAGTAGGTAGGGAGCAAACCCAAGAGCCGCAAGTGTAGTCCTCAGTGTGTCGTGCCACTCACGCGGTGCCTGGCGGAGACCGTAGGACTGGCCGCCGGAGGCTCCACTGGGTGCCAGGAGGAAAAGACCCAGTGAAGCCAGGTGGGCGACGCAGCCAGATCTCCTCGTTGCAGGCTGCCCTGCAAGAAAGCAATGCTGAAGTCAAGAGAGTGCAGCTCGTAGTCACGGTGGAGCAGCTATGTGCAGCAGTACCCGAAGAGTGGTCATCTTCGGGGTGGGAGAGAAGGTCTGAAAGTAGTCAACTCCCCTGCCGCTGACTGAAGCCACGAGCCACGTAACGCGCCTTGAAGACAGGCGGAGAACCCGGCCGGCCGCTTCACCCTGAAAATCCACATGCCACTGACGATTGTTCGCCCCAGGTGGGGGAACCTCGTCAACGTAGGTGCCTGTGGACTCCAGGAAGCCATCTCTGCGTCCATAGCTGCCTGGCCACTGAGAGGAGTAGGGGACCCTCTATCGCCTCCGCGTAAGAGCGCGGAGTCGGGATGTCAAGTGCATCCGGGTCTCCCTCAGGGGTAAGCAGTACGGGACACGAGATGAGGTTGAAGCAGCAGCCAAACACTGGAACTTCCTCCTGCCTGTCCTCAAGAGTACGTCCGTGCCATAGGGCACACTCACCCCCGACGGGACGGAGGACAGACCAGGACTTCAGACTCAGCAACAAGACTAGCAGCGTAGGTCTAGACGACAGGGAGCAGCACAAGTCGACGAGCTCAGTAACTAGGGCAGACGCAAGCAGCAGTGGACTTCAATAGGAAGGGTCAGTGACAACAGTAGCAAGGAGACGCGGGACAGTAGGACTGGCCAGGCACGAAGACGGAGTCCGACTCGGGTCGGGGAAAGGAGCAGGGAAGAGAGGACTCAGAAGGAGAAGGCAAAGTGGGCACCGGGCCTCCGGGGGGCACGCAATGCAGATGGAGCAGTGGACGCGCAGAGACATCCGGTGCGTGCCAGGGACAGGAGGAGGACGCTGACGCGAACCACGACCACTAGTGCGAGCAGCACGGACAGGCGACGCAGGGCGAGACGCAGGCTCACGA